GGGCAGCCTGGCAGAGAAGGGCTCTCGGGCCGTGTCACAGCACACTCAGGGAGAGGACGCTGCCCCCTGAGAGTCGTGTGGAGGGTTTGCTGTTGGCTCCCTGAGACAGCTCTAGAGTCCTCAGTCTACCAAGTCTTGGCAGTGCGTCCCCTGACTCCTTCACTGAATTTACTCCCAAGAGCCCTCTGTGCTGGGCTTCTGCACTGCCTTCTCACAGGGAGAAGATTTTCTGACCAGCCCCCATCTTATGTCAGATGGCTTGATCAGGGCGTTTCGATAAACTCAGACATTGACGTTCTGGCTCCTGTGACATCATTTCAGTAAATCTGTCCTAAGAAGCAGGTCACTTCAGGAAAGGCGGGCAAAGCTGAGCTTTGAGGCGGCCAAGCTGAGGACCTGACCTGGACCCCACCAGCAGCTGGCCCCCCTCTCATCCTGAGTAACTGCTGCCAGGACAGAAGGACCGTAAACTCTTCGGTGAGGCCTGTTGAGAACTCACAGGCGTCTCTAATCCATCCTGCCCAGAAACTGCGTTCTTAATCACTGCACCATTTTGCCTCAGTCTTTACTTATAAACACTTAACAGCAGATTTTGATGACCTGAAGTCTATTTTCTTATACACATTTTCATATTTTTCCTTATGTGACATATATGGTTAGTAACTTTATGTCCAGGTGCAAATCATGAATATTTTAGAATAAACATATCTGTAAAAGAGGAAGAATATTGGATGTCCATTTTTCATGAACACCATATGGCTGCTTCACAATGATAATTCCAAGCCACGCTTTATTTTTGAGTTGGAATTAATACTACAAGTAGATATTATTGTTTCAAAACATCCTGCAAAGGAAAGAGAGGGATCATTTTGATACCAGATGCTTCCCATCCCAGTGGGGACACGTGAAATGTTTTAATGTACCCAGCCCCACGAGCACTTGGGATGGGAAGCATAAAGCCTTGTCGTCTTCAATGGCAGCATAAGGATGCTGGTCTCGGGATGACGGGATTGGACAAGAGGATGAGCTGAGACTCTGTTCCCGGGCAAGGATCATAAGACCCGAGAGTGAGCAACCTCAATTTTCCAAAAACAAGAAAAAAGGTCTTTTCAAAACAAGAAATGCTCAACAGCGCCAGAACTTTCTTTTCACTAATAGTTTAGAATGCGTGACCTCAGGACGTCACGCACTCACACACCTAAGAGCGGTGATCGGAAGGGAAGCTTCTACATCACTTTTCTTGCTACTGCTGCCAGCCTGTGAGAAAATGAACTGAGTATTCACAGTGCCATAAAAAGACCCATGTGGTATAGAAGGGCAGGGATAGAGAAAAGAGAATGTAATCTTTTCTCTAAAACACACGGCTTGGTTTTCCAGGACCTACTGCACGGATAAATATATTGGGTGACTAGATTTTGGGAACAAAAATACAAAGAGGAAGTTATCTTCATTTCTGGAGTGCAAACTGCGAGAGATCAGGAGCATTCTCTGTGGCATTCACTGCCGCATCCCCAGGGCCCGGAATGTGGGGAGTGTTCCATAAATGTTTGTTGAATGAACAACTAATAGCAAGTTATCTGCACACAATGCCTAATTCATTGTTTAATAATAATAAAGAGCATCCCTTTGTGTTCCCATTGCAGTGAGAAGATAAATTCCTCTTTGTATCTTTATTTCCAAAATCTCGTTACCCTGAATCTTTGTGTACATATTGTATAAAATTCCCTGTGAAGGCAGGGATGGTTATCTTGTTTGTCAAATGCTGAAGCTCCAGCTCCTAGTATAGTGCCTGGAATATGGAACGCGTTGCACACATTTGTTGAATGAATTATTGAGTGTATCTTGCAGAGGGAAATATGATGTCATGATGAACATATGAACCTCTAACCTATCCCTGCTCCCTGGTTCCAGGCCCAAATGCAGGCCTAATTTGCTTGCTGATCCTGAGAAAATGCTGTATTTTATAAGAGGTCTGCTGGGTCTGCTCGTGCCCCTCCCCCTGCTCTGGGCACAGGGATCTATGTCCCCTGCCAGGGTCCCTGCCCTGCTGTCAGCCTGACCCACTGTGCCTGCCTCCCGGGAGTTTTCATGATCAATCAGTTTGGAATCCTCGCCCACTCGCCCAGCACGTTTGCCGTGAGTGATAATAACGGATGTGATGGTGGCATTAGGAAAACTGAATTTACCCAGACTTGCTTTCTGCTCTTTCCGTCGGTTGTCGTGTTTCCCCCTCAGGGCCTCTCCGTCCAGGCCCGTCTTCACTGGTCTGAGATTTGTTCCCAAAGCTCTCCAGCCTCTCCCACCCACACTCTCCTCTGTTCAGTGTCTGTCCCTCCACAATTTCTCAGGATCTAGGGGATAATGACTCATCTTGGGATCACACCACGTAACTCACCAGAGAGTCGATGCCCAGACAGAATCCTGACCTGGTCGTAGGAGACCTCGTTTCTGGAAAGGGTTCTGCCCCGAGCTGGTTCTGTGAGCTGGGGCCCCTCAGTCCCCCTGGGCCTCACATTTCTCGGGTGTGAAATGGGAGGTTTGTCTATGTCAGTGTTTCTGTGAGTAACACTGGTCCAAGGACATGTCCTTCAAAAGTATGTTCTGGGGTCACATCCATTTGGGAATTGCTATGTATTTTGTCACCCTTTTGAATATTACCAAATTAAAGGTGCTGACCAGTCCTGAAACAAAGGGACGATTTTTCTTACCTGATGATTGACTTTTGGGGGAGGGCAGTGTGTTGGCAGTTTCCTAGAACTCTGTGAGGGCAACCCTAGTTGAAATTTCTGGGACTCTTGGCTGCAGTTGCACATCCTTTATCTCCACGACCAGCTGCTGTGGGCATGAGGTAAGGATCTTGTCCTTTCAGGCATGAAAGGTCAAGTAGGGCAGAGACAAAAATCAGCAATAAAGGGTGACAATTGTAGACTAAAGTTTTGCACCGATTATAATGGGCATGAGGACTGACAAGCCAATGGTCTGCCCAGTGTGGGGGCCATGGAGGAGAAAGGGGCAGGCTCCACAGGTGACGTGCCTGTAGCTGAGCATGAGGAGTGTTTGCAGTAATTCACTGCAAAGAGAGTGTCGGAAAGGATGGTCCCGGCAGAAGGAACGGCACAGCACAGAGGCCCAAAGTCCCAGGGTAAGTTCTTGGCCTGTGAGATAACTCTCTGTTCATGGAGCCTGGGAGTGGAGGCTGCCTAGGGAGGAGTGGGAGAAAGTTCCAGAAGAGGAGTAGAGGCCTGCTTGCCACGTGCTTTAAGTGCCGTTGTGAGGAGTCTGAAATGTACCCCGAAGGTAACAGGACACCATCCTTAGATCAGTTTTTAATCAGGGGAATTACATGACCAATAAGTATTTTACAAAGAGAATTATGGACAAAAGAGAAAATTCTGGAGTGTTAAGGCAGATAGAAGGAGGAAGAGAGTGGCAGGAAACTATTAGGGTTCTGCTGAAACGCTCACGTGAGCGGTGACAACAGGCTGAGTGACAACAGTGTTGGGAGGACACGGCGGAGGAGACAGACGTAGAGACGCAGGAGCCGCAGACGGGGATGTGACGGACATGAGGCGGGAGAGGTGGGCGCACAGGCGGCCCTGAGCCTCCAGCTGGTGGAGGCTGCATGATGACCAGGCTTCCTGGGGCAGGAATTCAGAGGATTGAATTGAACTGAGGGTTCTAGTACAGAGTCATTTTTCTGTAAAAACAAAAGTTCAATGATGATTTAAGTAAAGACTTTACTCTTTTTAAGGAGATTCGGCGTATACCAAAAAATCTATTCCAGACTGAAATTTGGCGGGCACTCAATAACTTTCTATCAACAAAACAGCATTTATATCTATATATTTCTGTTGATTTTACCTCTAAATGATAAATAATCATTTCTGGGACTATAAATCCATTTGGCTTTTCATTCAATCAAAAACTCTTTCTTCTTTTAGTCATGGATTGTCCTTTGTACACTAATATCTCAGTAGAAGTTTGTGAAATTATTTGCATTTTCTAGGAGGAAACAGCGCAGAACACCAACAATTTTAGTGATTATTTAGATATTAAGCCATTTTTTTAAAAACTAATTCTAAATTTGGCCCTTAACGCTAAATATTACTGCCACTAATACATTAAAAACATATTCTGGTTTACAGTCGGGTGGGGATTACCTCAAAAACTTCTTTGTATGTCAGTGAAAAGTCCATGCTTGCTTGTTGCATAGAACTTAAAGATTTTAAGTAATTATTTTCCCAACAGCCTTTTGAAGTATAGGGTTCTTTTATTTGGGGGAAAAAGAACTTCTTTAAGAGGCAGGAAGTGGAAAGTAGCCTGACCGGACTTGTTTACACGAAGCAGCCACACCTCCCTGACCAGGTCAGGGTTTGCCCTCACAGGGAGGGCTGCCTTCTGTTTGCACAGAAACAGACTGTACGTCCACGGTCGCCGAGCTAGGACCAGCTGCTCGTTTTGAATCTTTTGTCCAAGAGGATGGGAATCCAGAAACTGGGCTGGTGGAGAGGAGCTGTTGGTGGACGTAACTCGTCAGAGGGAGGGAGGGCAGTGTCTGCCCGAGAAGCAAGCTGAGCTACTGAAATGACCACACACTGTAAAGGGTACACAATAGGGGCAGTCAGAGGGTGGCTCCGGAGAATTTTGTTTTCCTTTTGCATCGTAAAGAAATAAAGATAAAAACTGAACGGTCTTATGATAGGCAGGGCAGCCTCTCCTTCCCCACTTCCCCTAGCTTCCCTGCATTTTGGGGCAGCTCTGGGGAACTGTTTTGAAATAAATGTAGAAGCTTTGGAAGTCAGGTGCGTGTAATAGTTGTTCCTCCTATTCCGGGGTTAAGGATAAATGCTGCTGTGTCTAAGGCTTCAGATTTTCCAGATTTCTAAGTGCATTTTACTATTGCATCTAGAAGAAATTTTCCATTCTTGAGGAAATGCAACACAAAAATGAGTGGAGACACAATGTCCCTTTATCTCAGAGTGAAACAATCTTATTTCCTATAGTGGAAATGGAGGGCAGGGCAGGCCGGTTGTGGTTTCTGAAATCTAGCAGCCTCCTGTCTCCATGCCATTCTCTCCCCGGCCAGCGCCACCCTAACCTGATATCTGTTTACTTTAGAGGAGGCAGTTTTGAGAAAGGATCATAAATATCTTGGCCCGGTGCCCCAGGACGCCATGACAAGCGAAAGAACACGCCCGCCTAGAGATAGCCGTTGTGATATTTAAATGCGTGGGTTAATTTTTTATCCACTTTAATAACTGGATTTTTTGCCTCTCTGCTTCTTTGCTTTCTATTTCTGCTCTGAAGCCTTGGGCACAGAAATCTCTGTGGGAAAATTACTCCAGAGCATACTGCAGGACGGTCGTATAAGGAACAGTTAAATTCACAGCATCTGGATCCTGATCATTTTCCAACATGGCAGGTGTGAGTGGCTGTATAAAATACTCTATGTTTATCTTCAACTTCTTGTTCTGGGTAAGTGTTTTTCTTTTAATTATCAATTTTATGCAAGAAAGGGGATCTTGATATAAATATTATAAATGAGAACAGGCTCTTCACCAGAGAAGTAGGAGGAGGAAGAAAATGTATTTCCCATTTACTTGTTTGGATTTGTTCTTTCTTTGGTTATTTCAGTAATTGAAAATGAGCCAATGACTCAAAAAAGTGCACTTCAGGATCTGTGAGGATAAACATTTCATAAATGTTTTGATATTGTTGCCAAACAGTCACAGAGGAAAAAATACCCCTTAATTAAAGGACAATTATTCTTGGTTGTATATCATGCAGGCCTCCCCAGTTTAAGGGCCCTGTGGGAAAAATGGGATCCGATTCCATCGGAGCCCGGCCCCTGACTCCCAACCTTCACATCTGGGTGGAAACAGGTGAGTGGTGGGCATAAGAAGATAGACAGGAGAAGAGGATCATTTTCAGAGGCAAAGAAGAAACAGTGGGTCGTAAAAAACTTGAGAGGGTAACGATAAAGTTATTTAATCATGAAAAGATTAATCTAAATCACTAAGGTTGTATCAGCAATTTAAAGTTAGTATTTTAATGTGTCGTCACCCCACCTTTTAATCAACAGGATTTGTATTTTAGCAAGGTCTTACATTTCTCTTGAAAGTCTGTTGACATAAGACATAGCAAATAAATTAAGTAACATCTAACATTGGAAAATGGAAAAATAAGATACGGAAAGGCAGTAAGGTAAAGGCAGGCTGCAATGCTGGAAAATTGACATTATCATTTTTAATATGTATGGTGCAATTAAAGATTGTTCAAAAGTAAAACAGGAAAAATAGCCCAAAGTGCTTAAATGAAAGAAATATTTTGTACCCTGGATAAAAACAGCTTGTGCAGTATAAGCAGGAGTGAGTTCTGTTCTATTTTCACCTGGTTCTCTCTAGTAAACAGGCAGCTGGGATCTATGTTGGTGTTTCTGTGCTATTAAAACAATGATGCACCTAATTAAACGTAATTTATTGTCTAGAATGACTTTCCATTCAGTGTCAGTAGCCCTAATGAGCACAGAGGAAATATTGGTGAAGTAAGTGAGTGAGCATATAAATAAACAAAATAAAATAATGAAGATTTGTTCTTTGTACTTCGTCTTTTCCCTAGAAAAATGGGCTGCTTTTGCAAATATTACGTTGAAGCTCCTGAATATAGGCCAATTTTTTAAAGTTAGTCCTGATAAATTTCTTCCTTTGAAATATTTAAAATTGGTTAAACATTGAGAGTGGAATATAAACAAAGAAATACCTATGTACTTGGGTTGGTTTTGTTTTTAGCTTTTTACTTTGGAGAACCTAGAACACTGACAAGAAAGGACAGGGTGATCACCCCATCACCCAACCCCAGTGGCCATGAAACCATCCCTGTTCATACTCCCACCCACTTTCCCTGTTCCATATTATTTTGAAGCAAATCCCAGATATATCATTCATCTGTAAATATTTTAGTACATATCTCTAAAAGATAAATAATTATTTAAAGAATGTAAACATAATGTCATTATCCACACTAAAAACTTAATAAGAATTTCTTAATTGATATCAAATCCATCCAGGGCTCAAATTTCCAATTGCATCATAAATGTTCCTGTTTGAATCAGAATCCAAAGAAGGTTCACACCTTGTGGTTGGTTGATTCGTCTTTATGTCAGTTTTCACCCTTAGGTTCTCCCTTCACCTTCCTCTCATTCTCCCCCTTGGATTTCATGCACTGCTGTGTGTTTGTCTCATCACATTTCCATGGTCTGGATTTTGCTACTTGCATACCCGTGAGGTCATTTAACTTGTTCCCCGTCCTGTCTATCGTCTCTAATGTGGGAGCTGCACCTGGCAGCTTGTTATTGTTTTTTGGGGGTACAACTACTTTGTAAGTGATATTGTGTCTTTCATCAGGAGGCACATAATGTCTGACCATGTCACTTTTTGTCATGTTAGTAGCCATTGGTGCTCAAGAACCTAAATCCACCAGTTCATTAAGAGTCTCAAATTGGTGATATCCTATTTTTATCATTTTTTCTTCATTTATTGGCTGGAATACTTTCAATAAGGAGAAATTTCTCATTTACTGATTGGTTACCAGTGGTATCCAATTTTTATTAAAAAAGCATAAATGCTTCTCACTCTTTACTTAGATTCCAAAATGATGAGTTAATTTTCTGTATGGTACAACTGTGATAAGCAGGTATTTCTTTAAGTATCCTTATGAAATAAGAGGTGTAAATGCCATCACAATTCTTTTTTTTTTTTTTTGTGAGGAAGATCAGCCCTGAGCTAACACCCGTGCTAATCGTCCTCTTTTTGCTGAGGAAGACCAGCTCTGAGCTAACATCTATTGCCAATCCTCCTCTTTTTTTTCCCCCCCAAAGCCCCAGTAGATAGTTGTATGTCATAGTTGCACATGCTTCTAGTTGCTGTATGTGGGACGCAGCCTCAGCATGGCCGGAGAAGCAGTGCGTCAGTGTGCCCCCGGGATCCGAACCAGGGCCGCCAGTAGCGGAGCGCGTGCACCTAACCGCTAAGCCACAGGGCCGGCCCGCCATCACAATTCTTATCCTCACTGACATGCACTTAATTCCACCTTTGGCTAGTGGGAGCATCTTCAAGTTGGCTCCTGAGCAATTTTGACATGATCCTAGTAACTTTGATAACTTCTTCACTATTTGGTATGACGAGATGTTCCAGGGTCATTTCCCTATTTCCTGCCCCAGACCTGGAATCAGCTATTTCTCCAAGAAACTCTGACACCACTTTTTAAAAAACTGCAACCATTGTCTTTTTATGATACAGAATATATTGGACCCATTTAAACAAAATATGAAGATGCTAATAAATGCATGGCTCCTATTTTAACATCATGTCCCAAAGTACCCAAACCAATGGCAATCCTCAAGTTATGGAACAATTTAAATATGTCTCTGTTGTAAAAAACAGCACACAAAGTGCTGGTGGCTATTGTGGATACCTCAGGGGTCAGAGTTTCAGTACATAGCTAATAAGGAATTTGGAATAGATCTGAATTTTTTTTTTTTTTGTGAGGAAGATCATCATCCTCCTCTTTTTGCTGAGCAAGACTGGCCCTGAGCTAACATCTATTGCCAATCCTCCTCCTTTTTTTTCCTTTTTCTCCCCAAAGCCCCAGTAGATAGTTGTATGTCATAGTTGTACATCCTTCTAGCTACTGTATGTGGGAGCGGTGCGTCAGTGTGCGCCCGAGATCCGAACCCGGGCTGCCAGTAGCAGAGCGTGCGCACTTAACTCCCAAGCCATGGGACCAGCCCTGGAATAGATCTGAATTTTAAACGGAAATGACAAAGACAGTGTAAGAAAGGGGTATGTTATAGCTTTAGGACTATGTGTTTAAGATTAGAACTGAAGGTGAGTTGTACAAGATCTGTACCATGCCCTACCTAGACATTGTCACTGTTGTGCTGGGAGCTCTGATTACTTTATTGTTACCATTATCTCTTGGTTTTTCTGATAACGAAGACAAAGTCTTTCCGATGCTGTAGATTTCAGGTCGATAGGTCTAACTTTCCTGGGGTAAAGGCCTTGTTCTTCCCACCAGCATAGTGGTGGGATCTGCAATCTCTTGATGAGACGTCTTGAAATGGAGTCTTTGAGGGAGAGTGACAGCTGTAAAGACCAGGGAGAACTTCTCAGCCAACAGGGCACATCAATATTTTCATTAAAATCCAGACAGCAGGAGAACTCTCTGAGATCAGGGCACCATTCCCATTTCCACTCTCCCATTTACCCCCAACCCAGAGTTCTCAGTTGGAATTTTACCGTCCTTCATAGGAAATTAGCAATTTGTCACATTCCTCATGTTTACTTAAGCAAAATTTGAACGGTCCCACTGATGTGGTTTTCTTGTAGATATCCACGGCCTTGTGTTTTCAAATGAATTCTTTCTGGCGTAACTTGCGAAACTAAGTCTTTGCAAAGTAGGGCCAGACGTTGAAACATCTCTAGGACATGTATGCATATGGCCATTTAAGCTAAACATATCAGTTTCTTTTCTGGGAGAACTTGGGATATGCCACATAAATATTCAGTGATTTCCATTTGTTAGAATTAGTGATTGAAGAAAACATGCAGAAGTAAAAGTCACTCCTAATCACTCATGCTAGAGCTTGAGGCAAGTCAGAGTGAATTAGATGTGCTGCAGATAACAGATAAATTACACGTTCAAATCCTGCTTCTCTGAGTCTTGTGTCAGAACAGATGAACTTCCCGAGTTTTCTTATGCTCCTCTCGGATAGTGTGGGCTTGGAGGTCTTGGGGGTGGAGTAAGGTGGACCCTCGGCCTGTGGATGCAGTGGAGCCATTGCCAGGGGCAGAGAGCTATGGAGAGGCCAGCTCTTTATGGAGGAGAGCAGAGTGAAGCAATATCACCCATCCCAGGAGAGGGAAGGTGGGAAGGAGGAGCCTAGTTGTGTTGAGAAAGCCAAACAGATCAGCAACTGAAGGAAGCGACATGTGAAGTGGTTTGAAGAAGGCAGTCAGAACTTGGAGGGGGTCCAGGAACCAGCGTTTCCGTGTTCATCATTATGTTTTACATGGTGCCTGGGCCTCTACAGTGGAAGTGCTGAGAGCAATTAAAAGAGTTGAGGCAGAGCAGACACAACTAGAGATAAGGGTTCATTTAAAAAATAGGGCACAATTATATTTCATCCTGTCAGTTGATGAAATCCCCCAAGACAAAGCCTTGACAATGGCTGTAATGTGTGAGCTTTGTAAATACAGTGGTTGCTTGCCACTCTGCAGTCAGTGTGGAACTATGACAATGACAAAAGGCATGGAGCCCCGTGGTTGAGAGCTCAGGCTGAACCTCAGCTCCTTCAGCACCAGCTGTGTGACCCTGGGGAAATCAGTTAAGCTCTCTGTGCTTTAGTGTTCCTCATCTGTGAAACTGGGGATAGTACTAGTGTCTACCTCATGGGTTGGTTGTGAAGATTAAATGAG